CAAAGGGCTTGATCCATTGCCAATTAAAATTGAAGGAAAAAAATCATGCTGACTTCACTGGGCTTTGGTTCAGGTTCAGCTTGATTTCTTGTCAGGCAGAAGCGCTAATGCAAGTTATTTCCTGCAGATGCATAGCCAGTGTTCAGTCAAACTCGAGTGAAGGTGCACATCTTGATAGCTGTAAGATTTTAATGCTTAAAATTCCTTCATGTATGACACAGAAATGATTGTAACAGTCAAAGGCAGTGACTCAGTTCATTCAATTACTTTATGCGGTTGCACATTTTGTACTCCAGTAAGCTGGGATTCTTCAGAATTTTCATAAGAGAAATATATAAGGAAATACAGATGTTGATTTATTCAATAGAATCTATGATAAAGAGGGTAAAAGCTCATAATTTGGTCAACAGAAATGCAATTCCTCTATTTTTTTCAGTAAGTTCTAAATCATTTTTGTATTTCAGAAGAGAAATGAGATGATGTTAGGAGATCATGTTTTCAAGCCTTTTCAACTGCTGTTTTTTGTTTCTTACCTATGACTTATTTGTCATAAGCAAGAGAAATATTGGAAACACCTTTTTCAGTCAGTGTATCATATAAGAGCCATATGATTGATGCTAATGGACTGTTTGCTCAAAAGATGACTATTCATTTACAGAATAAATGGTTTAAAATTATCACAACAATGGGAAAGAGTGTTAACTGAAAGAAAATGAATGAGAGCCAAAGCATAAATTACAGTCACTTAGACTTTGCTCCTGTCTCACTAAAAATGAGTCAATTTTTCCAGTGATATGTATGGAAGATTCAGATATTAAATGTGAAAATTCGGTTAGTCTTTGTATTTTTCATTGTATTCTCTGTTTGGTACTAGTGGACAATAATGTTTCTTATCTTAAATGAAAACAAATATTATGATCACTATATGTTTATAGAAAGCTGCAGCAGAATTGAATATGCTATTGATTTCTATAAACAGACATAAAATAGTAGTGTTATTTTTTTATTTTTTGCATCGTCTTGATCTTGTTCTCTCTAAACTTGTGTGGATTTCTAAAATTATTTGTTTAGGGTTTCTGTCTTGCTAGGTATATTTAATTTGAAATATTAGTTTTGTGGGGGTTTTTTGTGTTTTTTTTTTTAAAGAGAATAAGGAATTGCTTTTTTTTTTTTTTTTTAATTTAATAGTGAAAACTAACTTCATTTGTACAGAGGGGAGATAAACTGTCTGAATTATTACCATAAATATTTCAGCTTTATAGATCATTGACTTAAAAGTTATGTAAAGACCTTAATCTTTGTTGAAGAATGTTTGGAGAACAAACATATCAATTGTAATGATTTGATTTGTTCAATGTACAAGTATAGAAATGGGGTCCAAAAATTGTGAGGGAGAGAACAGGCCTAGATAGTTCTGAAAGTCTGATATTGTTCTTTATGAAATGATGAGATTTTGCATTCTGAGAGACCAAGACAGTTCCCAAATGAAGGGAACATCTCATTATTTCCTGAGATTAACAGGGAGATTACATCTTCTCTAATGTCCACCTATTTTCTGGACATTTTGAGATACTTTTCCCAGAAGTTCTATGTTATTGTAAGCTTTCAGAAAACATGCTAGGTTGCTATCAGCTAGTATGCTTAACTCCAAATTGTAAATATCCCTCTCTGTGAAACACTGATAATATTTCTGTGAAAAACAGAACTTGAAAATGCTTCATATTGTGCCAGTTAAAATGCATTAAGGAAGTCAGGAGTCAGTTGCCTGTGAAATAAGTGCAGTCAGATGGTACTTCTCCATATCATTCCATAGAACTGCAACAATAATAAACCATACACACATGTGAGTACAAACACACACACAAATATTTGAAAGATTGCGAAGGGAGTTTTCCCTAAATTATATTATTGTGTTAGAGACTGAACTGCAGAGATGGATACAGAAGAAAACAAATAGTCAAGGACACAGTTAAAAACTAAGTGCATTCTTTTAATTGAACAATTCACATTTAAAAAAAAAAAAACAACAAAAAACCTTTCTTCCTATGAAATTATTCGGCTATAGGCTATGGTAATAGCAAGTTTAACTGAGCAACTAAAAAGAGGTTTGCCTTCATTGTATTAAAATCTGTCAGCTTTTTCCTGGTAATGACTGAAGCACAGATGATAACTAAATACATATGATTTCTCTATAAAAATGCATGGTATAAAATCAGATGTAAGTTTAATTTTTAAAATATTTTATGGTATTTCTGATGCAATCATGGTAACTGTTTTTTTTTTTTTTAACGTTAAAACATTGCTTCAAGGGTAACTTGCAATGAACACACATTAAGAATGGATTTACTACATGGTTAGAAGATTTTAAATACGAAGAGGCTTCCACTGCATGTGATGTTTTAAAAGTACTGGTGATTTGAAGAAACATAGCTTTTCTAGATACTTCTTAACTTACACTTAAAAAATGTTGTCCTGCTCTAGCAATGCCTTTTGTATAAGAATGTGTGAAGCTCTGTGTATGCACAGCTTCTTTTCTAGTCATCATAATGAGCTGATGAGATTCTGCACATATTTTAAGGAACTGTAATTCTAAAACAGGGTTAACAAATATTGTCATGTTTTTTTTGCTGAATTTAAGTGAGACAAGCTATTAAGTATCACTAGAATTTTGTAATTGTGAGCCTGTTTGTTTGTTTTACAAACAAGTCCAACTCTTTTCACTGGAATTTGTTAAGCACTTTAATTATTAGTCTTGAAATGACGTGTTCTGTGTTTTCTCATGGCACTGTCTTGTCTGTAAGTGTATACTGAAGATTTCCTCTACCTTTAGAAAGGTGATATGCTCTTCAGATTTTGGCTTGCTTTTAGATCAGTAAGATCAGTGTGTGAGCAAAATGATCACACAGAAAAAAAAAAAAAGTGAATTTTAGAATGATGTTGATCTTAGTATAAATTAAGTCAACCTCTACAGTATTTATTATAAGACATACTTAAGTAGATATTGTGTATCATATGGAACCTTTCCAACAAAAAGGCAGTTAGAGACTTCTGAGGGACCCTTGTTTTAAAATCATTAGTTTTTAAATGTCTCAAATGGTTGTTTAGAACTGTCTCAAGATGATGTTTAGATTGGAATGTAATTGCGAAACTGCATGTACAGTTCAACTTTGCCATTCTGGTAGTAAAGAGAGAATGGACTTTAATTGTACCATTGTTATTACAATACACTAAAATCATGGATAGGTAAAACATTTCTAGTACGATTTATGAATTTGCCAGTATGACTCATGAACATTAACAAGTAGTGTGCAGCTAAATCTTAGTTCATTAAGCAGAATCTATTAATTAAGCTGTGATGTTTACTCAACACACAAACTTTCTACAGTAAATTATATGGTATTTTGAATTCACTTCAAACTAGTTAAACTTTGAGGCCCTCTTTTATGCTCATGAGAACACATATCAGGGAGAAGCTAGCTTGTCAGGATGAGCATATGGTTATCTAAATTTAGCCTATTTTATTGAAAAGGTGCCAAATTTGATACGTTGAAACTGTCACACCATTGGAATAGCAGTTTATGCTTTGCAGTATTGCACACTTTGTAATGCTAGAGTGAGCCAAGTAGCTGTATGGCAGTGGATACTTGATTCCTCCTAATACTGAAAAGCCTAGGAATTTCTTTTATCTGAACTTTCTTTCCCACAGACCTTCTGCTTTGAATAAAAAAGACAAAAAAGGAATCAAGACAGAAGCATGGCCAGGAGGCCTGGGTATAGTAAGGAAATATGTGTAAGGTTCTAAAACAAAAATATAAAAATTGAACAATGCATGGACCATTAATCATAGCCAAGCAGGACTTTTGCTCAGAAACATCCTCTGCTTCTCTATTATAAGGTTATGAATTATGCTATAGGGCTATCTCAGCTACAATATGGTTGCTGCACTCCCCTGTGGGATTATTTATATGTAATTAGCTCCTGAGTGGCCATTTGTCTGAGTGTATCTCTAAAAGATACTGTATGGCTTACATACCTGTTAAAGAGTTAAAATTCCTGATTTTTTGGTCAGCATCACTATGCTGTTATTCACAGTGAAATAAAAGACATTCATTGAAGTGAATGTGTTTTCTCAAAGTTCATCCTAGGACAGCTGATAATATTCTCAGAGGAACTAGAAGCACAAAACAGATGCAAGTCTGTTCAGCAGCAGCACAAGCAAAACCATAGGGAAGAGAGAACGGGAAGATCTGGCTTTGCCACTTTTCTACTGCTAAGGAGAAGTGGGGAATTAAAGCTGTGATTACAGCTTGTCCTTGCCTTCACCCCTGACTTCTCTGCTCAGAGGCGGCTGTCACCTCACATATGTAGCCCTTCCTGGACTTAGCAATTGAGCAAGCTCAGTGGCAGTGCCTGCTGTTGTCTTGCCTTTGCAAGATGTGTAATGGGTCTAACAATAGAAGAACCCAGGCAGTTGGCAGCTCTTGTTTGTCCAGGGATATCTTCATTCTTCTTGTGCAAGACAGCTGCCCGTAAGATCAAGCCTTGCCTTGGGCATGATTATTCATGCATTCAACCCATAGTGCAAAAAAAGTCATAAAACATGAGAGTTATTGTATGAAATTAAGGCTGCAATTTCTCAGTGGCTCAGAGATGTACACAACAAAATTCTTTACATCAGATCATTCATCCAGAAATGCTGACTCATTACAGAACTAAAGCATATCAAGTTAAATTCTATCTATGAAGGTATGAGGGTATTTTTTGATGCCAGTTGGGAAACCTCAGAGTAATCTGAGGAAGAACAAAATGTCACATGTGTATGGGAACTGCTGAGTCACGGCCTGAACCTCTGATTGATCACCTCAGGTGAGCCATGAGTCAGCCAGAGGAGCACAGGTGAAGGCAATTCACCTGTGCTGCCAGACGGGGTGGAGCCTGGCTGCACCTCCCCTAGACCTATTTAAGAGCTGGCTACCAGTGGGGAAGGATCTCTTCTGGAAATTGCCTCTACTGGTGTTTTGTAGTGAGTGCAGCATAAGGGTAAGCCTTCCATTTATTCTCTTTTGTTATCATAGTCTACTTTGCCTAACTCTCTTGTTTATTTTGTGATTATAACAGTCTAATATTCTTTGATTGTCCACACATGAAATTAATGAATTAAACGTAATGTCAATATTTTCTATGAAGTTCATTTTTATTTTGAAATAAAATGCTAGATAATATATATAGAGGGGCTTCCTTCCAGATTTACTTGTGATGATTAAAGTGAGTAGGTGTCCCCTTGCCAATTTCTTTTAAGTACTTTTAATAGCACCTTCTTCTACACTCAGCAAACTCAGAGCTTCAGGATAGTTCTGTACTGAGATGAATGTACGTAAATAAATAAATATTCTCAGCTGAAAGAAGATAAAGTTTATAGAAGGTAAAGTTTAAAAAGTCTTCCAGAGAATTAATTCTATTTTCTATACTTCAGAAATCATTTGAATTGTTTCTTAAAACAAAATGTATCAAGAAAAGTTTTAAGCAACTTAAATGAAAATGGCAAACATTGCTGGCATTACAATGTCATAATTCAATATATTTTAAGCCCCTATTTATATGTATTGTTTTAGATTATGAAAAAAAATGAATTATGAAGCTGAAAAAAAAAAATTGTGTAGAAGCAATGTGTGCTTATAGATCCATGCTTACAAAACTGCACTTTATCTTATACTTATAATGACATTGCTAAAAGCAAGCATAGTTATGTGTACAAAACATATAACCACTGCCATTGCTACGGCTGATAGGGTGGAATCACTATTGGCATGTCATCTGTGGAAGTTTCCTAACTTTTTTTATCCAATTTTGTCTTTGCAAATAAATTGACATTTTAGAAACATAAGACGGAAGTAAATACAAAGAAAAGAAAATCATAGTTCTTAAAAAGTTTCTAATTCTATTTTTCAGTGTATTTGCAAATCTAAATTACTCTGATAATTAACAACATAAATCTTGTGAAAGAATAAGGAGCATGTATTAGAGTATTGACTAAAACTATTAATCACCTTGTTAAGTGAATGTGCTGTATCTTAGATCTGACTGCCCTGAGAGAAGCAAGCCTCCTGCAGCAGATTCAGGTCAACCAGTAGAGGTTGTGAGTGTTCTCAGTATGTGCAGAAAACAGTGTACGCATGTATACACCATATGCAACTCAGACACAAACAGAGTGCTGCACAGCACAACAGCCTCATTCTGCTGCCTTCTCTGACAGCACCTTCACTCAGTCAGGACAAAAACAACCAACAGGTGCTTCAAGCTTTGCTCATGAGCTTCACACCTGGAAATTGTTCCTGAGAATCTCCTGGGACAGCCCTGAGATGGGGGGTTGGGGAGGGGCCTGGGTAGAATGTCCCTCCCTGACTCCTTAATTTAGATTTGCCAGCTGCTTTTGTGTTTCCACTCTCTGTTCATGTGGAGGTGATGGTTTTCTGGTGGGTTAATTACTCTTGTGATGGGCTTGGGAGAAGATGGCTGGGAGTCTTCACTTACTATTGTCTCTCTTTTGTGCTGCTTTTTAAGTGTGCAGATGAGCTTTTAGCACATAAAATTTTCTATCACATTTATCTTTTGCTTTTGGAATTTTTACCATCTTGCAGTGGGAGCTTATGACAGAAACACTTAACAGAAAAAGTGCTAAAATCTCCTTAGCTGTATCCAAGCAAGATCCTGCACTCTATTGCAAACTGCCAAGGTTGTTGTTTCAGCTAACATTGGTAAGCTTTGTAAGAAGAATCTGAGCTGTGCAAATATAGAAGTTTTTTCTGATTTTGCAATGGTAGTCAGTCACTTTATACGTGGGATATCATTTCTTTCATCAGCTCAGTGAAAGTGTCTCACAGTAACAAGTGCAAGCTGACCTCATGGTTGTTAAGAAATGCACCCCTGACATATCATCTCAAGGGAAACTGAGAGCTGGGATCAGTGACTTCTTAAATAATCTCAGCTGGTCCTTCTGCAGTACCTGTCAGCAGCCTTAGATCTGTTTCTCAGCCAGCAAAGCAACTTCTGTCCTTCATAATAGCATGCGATATATTATTTTTCTGGATTGAGCCATTAGGTTCTCTAGCCCTGGTCCAAATCTGAAATCAATGGGAATAACTTCTGTACATGCATGAGATTTTTATGAGCATTTAGGGTTTATGACTAATCCAAAGAACACAAGTTTTCACCTAGAGTTTTCATCTTAAAAATGAAAAACCATTTTACCCATATTACTGTTCCCATGATGATTTTTTTGTTAATTCACAGCTGTGTTATTGATAGTATATAAGGTTTTGGGAGTTCTATTTCTGGTTTAACACATTATAAATAATGTGAAAATTTATGTGAAGATCTCATTGCTTGTTTTGTTTTCATCTTTTTGTTAATCTGATTAATTCAAATAATAGTTTCAATTTCAGATCTTATAAAGAAACTGAGTTAAAACATTTTCAGCTCAGTGGTTGCTGGTAGTAATGGAAAAAATCCACTATTTTAATGCATTAAAAATGCCTCTCACAAATGCTCTGTTAGAATTTCAGTAATCATATATCTGAATATTTTTCACTGTTTTATTACAGGTGGAAGATCTGAATTGAAGTACTGTGAGGCAGACAGCTGCTCATCATTTGTCCTCTTGCAAAGAAGATGCAAGAAATGTGGTATGTACTGAGGAAATATGAGAATGTAAGAATTTGAATAAAAAAGAATGCACAGAAATGTTGGCAGTATAGTTTGCCCATGGTGGACTTGACCTTGCTTCCCTTCACCAGCATCCAGATTGGTTGTAGACTTGGTTCAGTCTCATTTTCTCCATGTAAAGTGAGAACAGAGTCTGGTGCAGTTTTTAAAACTAAGCAATATCATAAAAATTCTTATTAAATTTATTCTGTTGTGCAATTCCTGCAGCTGCATGTCAGTATGAACAGTACGACACTTCAAGATGAGTATGACAGCTGTCTTTTTCTTTCTTTAATCCAGTCACATTTTTTGTCATCTTGCTAGTTCCTCATACACATAAAATTATTTGTATTTGTTGAGAAGACTTCAAGTTCTGTTAACTCCCTTGGTGTGTTTAGGCTGTCTTATATATCTTTACAAAAGGAGATGGTCATCTATTGCACAGATGCATTAGGCCCATATAGACTACTTTTCAATAGCTGGTTATCCACAGGATTATTTTAACTCCATTCAGGTGACCTTAAAAGTTAATGACAAAAACACTCATCAAAGAAAATAAGTGGCTCATCCTCATGGCATTGCAGAGCATCTTGTCACGGTGAGAGAATATTCAGTCACCTTTAAGAATTACATTGTGCAGTTCCTTCTGCTGAATTTAGCAGTTACTCCTATTTGTGTTTACTCCACTGATCTGAATGTATCATGAGAAAACCTGTACCTCTCTCCCTGTAAGACATTTTTTTTCTAGCCCTTGCTGTCACTCACTGTGAGGATTACTTTTATGCTGCATACACAAATAAGCTCAAACGTGTTGTGAGCCTAACAGTGATGCCAAAGAACTCGGACTGCTGACTGCCATACTCCTGAGGCTTAGGTGTCCAGGGTTAAATAAACTCAGTTTACTGTTTACCCCACTGCAGGCAATTTAGGGACACCATTCTCTGATCTGTGTTTTCTGTGTATCTTTGGATCTTGTGGTGGAGCTACACTGTCATAAATATAGTAGTGGTGGAGCTACACTGTCATAAATATCGTAGTGGTGGAGCAAAGACTACGTTCCCCCATGCCTCTCATGCTACTAATATCTCCCTATAGAACATGAGGTCTCAAGTTTTATGAAAATATTCTGCATCATACAACAGATTCAAAACTAAAATAATAAAATAAGCTAAAATACATATTGTACCAAATTTCAGCTGCTGTTTTACTGTTTTTCACTTTGTTTCTTTCTGTGAAGTTGTGGGAATTTGGTTGCTTGTTTTTAAACAAACTGGACTGTCCTTTGGCATCTTGTATGCAAGTGAAAGCCTGTGAATGATGTTGAAAAAAAATGGCAGATAATTTACAAAACACGAGGAAAATCTGCAGCAGAGTCAAGAATAAAGCTTATAGGATCATTCAAGCCCTAATAATAAGATTAAATATCTTTAATCTTAGGTAACCATCAGAACTATGATTTCTAGTGTTCTGTCCTTAATGGTGAGTGAATCCTTGTTCTTCATTACTCAGAAGGTATTCAGGCATCAAGATATCAAGGATATCAAGTATCTGATAGCTGATACATGGTCTACAAAGATAAATGGTAATGAAATTGGCCAAGCTGGGTTACTTAAAGTAAATGACCTAGAACTATGGGACTAAACCTCATCAATATAATTCAGTCTCCTGTTACCTAGCATCCTTATAACAAAGCAAAATGACCAGGAGATGTCCTGTGGTGTTTCTTAACAGTGAGAGCTGTTAGAGACTTTTTAAAATCTAATTGGTTCAAATCTTCCCTTACGCTGTTGACTAAGTTAAACTGCTCTTTTTAAAATTAGAGCTCTGAATTACTTTTTTGAGGTTAAGAGCTTGTAATTATATGAATTTCACACGTGCAACCCCAATTCTCTCTCTTACAGTACTGCAAAAAAGGAGTGAACTGAAAACAAAATAGCACCAATTTTATCAGCTTTATACTTACACAGGTGATTATGACTCCACAAATACCCTGTTAAAATAAAGTAAGACCTAAGACAGAATTAATTGAATAAATTAAACCCGTACATCTGTAAAGGGATGATGGAGAGAGATGGGGAGTATTTCTCCCCTGTTCGGGACTGATCACAGTAGAGGGTTGTTAACAGAAACTTTGAGTTGGAAAAGGAAATGCTAAATTCCCTGAATTGTTATATTCTTCCTGTATTATGAAATTTGTGAAACTTTACAGAGTCCTTCTACGTCGAGCCAATTCTTCTACATCTTGAGCCAGTTGAAGATCATTTGGTTTAGAATGCAGAATTTCATTCAAGTTTGTTCAGAACTTGGTTTAGAAGTTTGGAGGATATGACCACTATGTAAAACAAGGACAAAAAAGAATTCATTTCAGTCTTGGCTCATTAATTGGCTCTAATCCCTTATGTACAAGCCCAGGATGCTTTTAATACAGTAATGTCTAATTCATCAGCTATCCTGAACAAAAGCAAATGAATAGAAGTGAATCTCATTATGCAAAAATCTTGAAGGTGAAAGAAGAAAGCATTCCAAAAATATTCTCCATATGTAGCACTGTGACACCTGATGAGAGCTTGGTATCAGGGGTAAAAGTGAGATATGCAGATAATTGCAGCTTTCTGTAATAACTGTTTAATTCAGTAGATTGCCATTACACTGCTTTGCAGTTCCACCTTTTCTAACCACCAAATAAAGTTTTGTTCTTAGGGAAGAATTAGTTGTAATCTTTATTTTTTTTTTCTTCTCATTAAAAACATGGATATTCACACAAGCTTATATTGATTTCTTGTGAAAAACTGCAATTTTTCAATTATTGTGAAAATCAGTTTTCATATTTCAAAATGACTGTTCATTCAGTTGAAGATAAAACCTTTCCTTTGTTGTGTTGTTCTATTTGTTTTCTATTTATTTATCATATTTTTCTATTTGTTTGGGATGCAAATTCCTTTTTTTTTTTTTTTTAAATGTTGGAATAAATTTTAGCCTTCCTCCACTGATGAAAATATATCTTTTCCCTAGAAAATCCTTTGTGTAATGAAACTGATGAAAGTACTGGACAAAAGTGTCATTAATTTGAATTTTGATTAGGTTCACAAAAGAAACATTGTTAGAATTAAATTGCAGGAATAATCAAGGTGGAGAATACTGATACCTATCCTTGACGTGACCAGAAAATAAATCTTGATTTTCTAATTAAATTGTGCTACAATAAAGTTCAAGAAGTAGAAGATGACACTCTACTGTGTATAGAAGATACTTGTATACTAGCTGTAATTTACATTTGATTACTTTTTGAACATGTATGTTTGTACAAACCTATTGATTTTCTATTTGTTTTATGTGTCTATCTTAGAGTATAATTTGATCTGGTGACTTCATCTGCTGCCACAAAAAGTAAGAAGATTATTTTGATAGGAAAACCCACAGGGAGTAAAATGCATATATCTGTCTGAATTAATTTCAGTATTCCAGGGTGGGATTTAATGATGAAACACACTCTGTTCTCTGGTAAAAACAGGTACCAGATGGTATGCATAGCAAAATATGTTTGCTATATACCTGTGGGTTTTGAAGTAAAATGCAACCTTCCTAACAGCTGGCATATCACCTCAGGACATCTGAAAGTACTCATATGGACAGATATTATCAGGTTACAGAAAACTATGTTGAGTACTTTTTATCTTAATTTTGTATAGATAGTGGTATGAAATAGGAACATCAACAACATTCCAAAAGTACTACCTCCATCCAACATTTTATATCTAATATGTATATTGCTGGCTACATAATACCAACTTTCTTAGAATAGCTACACATGTCATATATAATTTATTCTGTAGTTTCCATTGCTAGACAGAAAAAAAATACAGTTATCTAAAAATGTGTTGACATTCTTGCTTATATATAAATAATAAATACTTTTGTACAATTTCCTAAGGGAGCTGTCAGAGAAGAAATCCAACAATAACCTACGGTATCTTTTCTTTTTCAGTAGGGGTTATACAATGCAGCATTCATTGTTTCTGTTGAACACAGAATCTAAATAAGCCTATACTATTTGTAAATCAATAGAGTTAACATGTGGAACTGCATGTATATATTTATATTTATAAATCTGTACTTAAGTTTTGGGGGGAGTTATATTTCCAGTAGTAGTACTACTGAAATGTAGCTGTAGGAATACTGTACTGACAATAAGCCTAATTTTCTTGGATTATTTAAGGTTTGTAACAAAGCCAGCACTCATCTTAAAACTTAAGTTATCTTAACTGTCTCCTCAGAGCTTTTTAGAGTGCTGTGAAACTTTTATTTACAAACTGGTAAATTCTAAATTATACTCAGTTCTAACTTAAAAGTTCTTAAAATATCCAAATTTTATTCTGTACAGGCTAAAGTGGTTGTAATCATGTGGTTATATGAGTTGACATTTTTCATATCTAGCATCTATCTAGAATATAGAAATAACTTCTTTAAATTAAGTGAAGAATTATTCAGAATAAGGGCAATTGGGGTTTACTTCTTTGGTGTGTTGCACTGCCTAGTTAAATATTCCGTAGCTGGAAATGACGGTAAAGAGGCTGGGGACAATGCTCAACTGATTTTGACTCCCTCTTTCAAATGAACAAACAAGGACAATTTAGAGCTAGGTGAGAGCAGACAAAATGCAGTAGTAACTTTAATGCCACACTGGTTGTCCTCATGGACCTGGTGGTGTCTCTGTATATACCTTCTGAAGAACACATATTCCAATTGCCATTCAAGTGGCTTGTGATCTGGCAGTGGATAATAATTTGAAGACCCTCAAAAGAGACTGATAGAAATACTGGTTAGCTAGCTGCTGTCTTTACCCTACAAACAAGTCTTAGTTCTGAAGAGATTTGGCTGAAATAAAGTTGTACTTTCATTTTTTTTTAGGGGATGTTCAAAATAATATGGGAAATCTCTAAGGGAAAATCACTAGACTATGGATATTTAAATGACAGCTCAAACAGGAATATGTTCATATTTTCAGGCTAAATATGCTGCCATCCTACAGCCTGTGAGTTTCGGTATTTATTTAGCTAACCTTATTAAGTTTCTCAG